ACTCCACGCCGCTGCGCGCCGCCTGCTTCGATGGGCACCTGGAAGTGGTGCGCTACCTGGTGGGCGAGCACCAGGCCGACCTGGAGGTGGCGAACCGGCACGGGCACACGTGCCTCATGATCTCCTGTTACAAGGGCCACCGTGAGATCGCCCGCTACCTGCTGGAGCAGGGCGCCCAGGTGAACCGGCGCAGCGCCAAGGGTAACACCGCCCTGCACGACTGCGCCGAGTCCGGCAGCCTGGAGATCCTGCAGCTGCTGCTCGGGTGCAACGCTCGCATGGAACGCGATGGCTACGGCATGACCCCGTTGCTGGCAGCCAGTGTGACCGGCCACACCAACATCGTGGAATACCTTATCCAGGAGCAGCCTGCCGGGATGGAGGTGCAGCCAGGGCTGGCCCCAGAAGGTCCCTCCGGTCTGGGATGCATCCAGTCCCAGGGGGCCAGCTGTTGCCGTTCCTCCCCAGAGGAACCGCTGAGTGAAACTTACGAGAGCTGCTGCCCCACCAGCCGGGAAGCTGCCGTGGAAGCCTTGGAATTGCTGGGAGCCACGTATGTGGATAAGAAGCGGGATCTGCTTGGGGCCCTGAAACATTGGAGACGGGCTATGGAGCTGCGGCACCAGGGGGGCGAGTATCTGCCCAAACCGGAGCCCCCGCAGCTGGTCCTGGCCTATGATTATTCCAGGGAGGTGAACACTGCCGAGGAATTGGAAGCACTTATCACCGACCCAGACGAGATGCGCATGCAGGCCCTGTTGATCCGAGAGCGCATCCTGGGTCCCTCTCACCCAGACACTTCTTATTATATCCGTTACAGGGGAGCCGTGTATGCCGACTCCGGCAATTTTGAGCGCTGCATCCGCTTGTGGAAATACGCCCTAGACATGCAGCAGAACAACCTGGAGCCTCTGAGCCCCATGACCGCCAGCAGCTTCCTTTCGTTTGCTGAACTCTTCTCTTACGTACTTCAGGACCGGGCAGCCAAGGGCAGCCTGGGCACGCAAATTGGCTTTGCTGATCTCATGGGGGTGCTCTGCAAAGGGGTCCGGGAAGTGGAACGGGCCCTGCAGCTGCCCAAGGAGCCTGGGGACTCTGTCCAGTTCACCAAGGCCCTGGCCATCATCCTCCACCTGCTCTATCTGTTGGAGAAAGTGGAATGCACGCCCGACCAGGAGCATCTGAAGCATCAGACCGTCTACCGGCTGCTGAAGTGTGCCCCCCGGGGCAAGAACGGCTTCACCCCTTTGCACATGGCCGTGGACAAGGACACCACAAACGTGGGCCGGTACCCAGTGGGCAGATTCCCCTCCCTCCAGGTGGTCAAGGTACTGCTTGACTGTGGGGCCGACCCAGACAGTCGGGACTTTGACAACAACACCCCGTTGCACATAGCTGCCCAGAACAATTGTCCGGGGATTATGAATGCCCTGATTGAAGCGGGGGCCCACATGGATGCCACCAACGCCTTCAAGAAAACAGCCTACGAACTGCTGGATGAGAAGCTGCTGGCTAAGAGCACCATCCAGCCCTTCAACTACGTAACCCTGCAGTGCCTTGCAGCCCGCACCCTGGACAAGAATAAAATCCCCTACAAAGGCTTCATCCCTGAGGAGCTGGAGGCTTTCATTGAACTGCACTGATAGGATTCTGCGAGGGGAGAAACCCGGAGAGGTGCCCACACCAGTCCTTGCCATCTCTCGGTGAGCACTTCAGGTGGCATGAAGCAGGAAGAAGGGCTCTCCCAACTCCACGGCCTTTCACCTTGCAGAAAGCGGGGAAAGGAGTTAGCTATTGGTGCTAGAAGCCTTCGGGGTCATGTGCTCAGAGAACTGTCTTTCTCAGGAGGACATGCACTACTTTCCACACATCCCATCTGCCTGGGTCTAGGAAGATGTTGCTTTCTGAGCGGCAGAGGGATCGAAGCCATTGTTTTCCTGTACTAGAAACAAGAAGAAACTGAAACTTGGGTCTGTCCTTCTTTGCCCCTTATGTAGCTAGATAAACCCAGCCACAAAATGCAGTGTTAGGAATGGGGCTCCCAGAGTGGAAAGTTGGAGACTCAAGAAGCAAGACCATTTCTCACTTCTTCCAGCACGGTTGCACCTCCCTCCCTCCCACGTTGCCATCGTTGTCCCACACAGGCAGGACTCTGCTTAGGGTAGCCTGCTGCTTGCACAGCTTGGGCTGGTTTGGTGTTCTGTTTAGTTAGTAGGTGGGCAGGCTACAGGCATCACAGGAGTTCTGAGGTTTTGCTGCCATATTTGTTTTTCTTAAGAATTTGAAATTTTCTCTTAAGACTTGATAGGTTGATTTTGTGCACCAAGGGTTTGGTCATGCCTGAGGAGGCCAAGGCCCTCAGGAGCAAGCTTTATTGTGTGAAGAATTTGGTGAAGGAGGTAGAAGACCACGGTATCGGTTCCTAAAATGCAGGCGGCTGTACGTTTCTTAAAACTTCACTCATTTGCCTTTTACTTGGGCCTCTCGTATTTCCAACCTCATTAGAGAAGTGTTTTTTCTAAAGAGGTTCAGGCCAAACGCCCGAGGAGCTGAGCTTGATGTGTTTCCCGCTGAGTGAGAACTTGCAAGGTGGTTTGGGGCTTGGTTTTCACAGATTCTGAGTTAGAGCTGAAGGCCACGTCAGCCCCACAGATCATATACAAGTGCACAGTATTGTGGGTATAGCCACCCTAAGTGGCGCCAGCTACTCTGACCACTGCTCAGGTCTCCCTAAGGAAATGCTAAGTGCAGCATTAACTCCACAAATCAGCTGGATGAGACTGAATGCTGAGAGCTGAGGCGATAGAAAATCCTGGCTTCCCATCACTCAGGGTATGAAGTGCCTGTGTTAGGGAACTGCTGCAGGGAGGTGGTTCTTGGGTCGCACTGCTTATGCCCTGTCGGCAGAAGGGGACTCTCCCTGGCCTATTTGGACAAGCGTGCATAGCAGAAGGGGACAGAAGCTCAGGTCACATTCAGGACAGCAGCATCCTTACCCACCCTCTCTGCAGCCTTGTCAAATGGCAGCTGCACGGAGGCCCCAGGCACCACAGCAGGTCCATGGATGCTCTGCCCTCAGAACACTAGGCCTCCTGTGGACGTGCAGTGTTACTTAGGATGCTATTTATTTACAAGACCAGGTTTTACCTTCCGTGGAGGTGGAAACAGCACAGAATAAAGAAATGAGGCCATTAACTTGTGAGTCCTGACGCTGGTGTTTGTCATTAAAAAGGCAACGTTAGAAGAAAACCACCCAGCAGTTCCTTGCCGGGGTAGGTGGGGGAGAAGGGAGGAAAAGGGTGCCACTGAGAGTAAAAGGCCATGGTGCCAGGCCACTTAAAGGAGTGCCCTCAGGCTGCCATCTCTAATGAGTTTTTAAAATATATATATATTTTATTGTTGATGATATTTCCCATTTTACCCCCCTTTACCCCTCTCCTCCCATCCTCCCAGCCCCTACTCAGCCCCCCAGGTCTTCACCACCCTATTGCCTGCGTGTCCATGGGCTATGCATATAAGGATATAAGTTCTTTGGTTTGTCTCTTCTCGTCCCCCCACCCCCACATCAGAGTATGTCAGTCTGTTCCAGGCCCCCATGCAGGAGTTTTTCCGCATGTGCTGAGATTTCATTCAGAAGTGGAGTTTCACTGCATAAAAAGAAAAGGTGAAAAACTCCTGCCTTCGTCCAAACCCCTCACTTCGCATGGAAAAGACCCCCACATCAGAGTATGTCAGTCTGTTCCAGGCCCCCGTGCAGGAGTTTTTCCGTATGTGCTGGGGCTCCGTGTGAGATTTCATTCAGAAATGGAGTTTCACTGCGGAGAAAGAAAAGGCGAAAAACCCCTGCCTTCGTCCACACCCCTCACTTCGCATGGAAAAGGGGGTGAGCTTGACCCTCTGCAGGGCGAGGAATGGCTGAGAAAACCAGAAAGCCTGCCAACTCAGTGAGACCACAGATGGAGCCGGTGGAGTGTTGTGGCCCAAGGGGTCTGTTCATGAACTTGGTGGGTTTCCTAGCGCTGCTTCCAGCTTAGGAAAATCCAGGCCTCCCCTCTCTCTCTCTCTCTTTTTTTTTTACTGCCATCTCAGTTGTGAAATTCTGGTTTTCTCCGCATTAGCACAGTCAAACTCCTACCCAAAGCACTGCCCGGTGGGGGTTTTCCGGAGCACCCACTGTTTGCCAGTTCCCTCAGGGCTAAGGCTCGAGCTGTTATTCCTGAGGTGGGTGGTTTCCATGTCCCCGCCTCCTGTGGCCGTAGGAAAGACCCTGCCAGGCCCTGGTGACATTTTGCCTCCAGTAGTTCATTGGGCTGGAGGGCTCTCCCTCCTGATTTCACTGGGTGTCCAACAACCCTCAATAGCTAATACCCACGCAGGTACAACATGAATATATCCTTGCCTTAAAGGAGTGGATTTCAAATCCACAGATGCTCTCAGAGCCATGTCCTGGGAAACACATAACTGCAGAAGCATTTATTGAGCCCTGACTGTATGCTGGCACCATTCTATGGGCCTCATTAACTGCTCACCACAGCCCTGTCAAGTAGGTATCGTTACTTCTATTTTGAGGTGATACAGGGTGTTAGGAGGCTCACCAAAAAGGAACACTGATTCGTGCCAAAGGCTTTCCTTACCGACTTCCCAGTAAAGCCTTCCCAGGGTCAGGCGAGGGTTGCTTCAGCAGCTCAGAATGGGCATGACCTGGTTCCTCCGGTGTCCTGATACAGCAGCCAGCAGAATGGAAGGCATCTTTCTGCCAGCCAAAGGCCTAACGTTCACGTTCACTCGGATTGGGACAGTCAGTAGCCCAGAAATGGGGGATGGGGGAGGAGCCCGCCTCCCCAAAACATCTGTCCAAGTGACATTGGGGTTCTGTAAAATGGAACCGATTCGATGGAGGAAGGCAAAAAAAAAACAAAACAAGAAAGCGCATGATAAAATTATTACCTGTAATTTATCAGTGAAGAAACAAGTTCAGAGAGGCCAAGCGGCCTGCCCAAGGCCACACAGCCAGGATAATGACCCACTTCACTGATAGTTGAGCAAATTGAGGCTCGGTGAGGGATAGGGATTTGCTCAAGTTCACTCAGCCAGGGAGCATGCAGCCCACCTCACCAGTGGGAGCCCCTACCCCACTCACTGTCACTTCCCACCTTACTTCCTGCCTCCACAGAACGGAAATTCTGCTCATTTGCTCATTTACTTGCTTAATAATGCCTTTCCCAGACCTTCCAGGTCCCTGTGAGGGTCTGTCTGAGTCACTGCCACGCCCTTAGCACCCATGTGTTGAGTAAATGGATGAATGCCTGTCAACTCCCGAAATTCCAGTCCTTGGACAACTTGAGGCAGCAGCAGGGGACACGGAGCAGCCCCTGATGGCTTGGCCATGCATAGAACCCGCCACCCCCACGGGATTCCAGCACTGTCATCTGAGCAGTGTTTACCAGAGGGGAGGGGCGGGGAGGGGATCGGATTGTCCTGGCCCGAAGTTAAAGATAGCACAGCCCCAATCACATCACAGGCTGGAAAGGAGAGATGACCAGCCCCTGGGACCGCTGGCACAGCAGGGCACTACATGTGCCCGGAGAAAGGATGGGTGGGGGTGTGGATTCCTGTGGGAGATTCTGAGGGCTGGACAGAGAGGGTGGTTCCAGCCAGTGGTTGTCACAACATGTGTTAGGTAATTCCCAGCCCAAGTTCAAGTGGCAACACCCCTCTTGCAGGGCCGGAGGAGGGGAGGGAACGTCCTCCCTCGGCCCAGCACCTGTGGCTCTTGTAGGTCACAGAAGAGACTTTGAACTTAGGTTTTGAACAAGACATCTGAGATCCCCCAGGTCAACCCTCTCCCCCTGCCTTATGCCCTAATGTCCTCCACTACAGCCCATCGAGCAATGATCTTGATAAAAATGTCACCTCCTTTGCGAAGCCCTCCCAGGTTGTCAAAGGCACAGCCCCAGCCATCTTCCACCACATCCCCCTCGTGTATTTCCTTCTCAACCCTTATAACCTTAACTCCTGTAACCATCCTGTTCTTTACCCGCTTCCTTTGCTCATCATGTGCCTCCCCCCCAAGTTCAAGTGGCAACACCCCTCTTGCAGGGCCGGAGGAGGGGAGGGAACGTTCCCTCCCTCGGCCCAGCACCTGTGGCTCTTGTAGGTCACAGAAGAGACTTTGAACTTAGGTTTTGAACAAGACATCTGAGATCCCCCAGGTCAACCCTCTCCCCCTGCCTATGCCCTAAATGTCCTCCACTACAGCCCATCGAGCAATGATCTTGATAAAAATGTCACCTCCTTTGCGAAGCCCTCCCAGGTTGTCAAAGGCACAGCCCCAGCCATCTTCCACCACATCCCCCTCGTGTATTTCCTTCTCAACCCTTATAACCTTAACTCCTGTAACCATCCTGTTCTTTACCCGCTTCCTTTGCTCATCATGTGCCTCCCCTAGAGTGTCCACTACACAAGCTCACCCCTGCTGTGTTCCCAGTGCCCAAGAGAAGGCCTGACACAGAGCAGCTCTTTAAGTATTTGTTGAATGAATAAATGAACTCACGTGGTTCATCCTAAGAAGAGCAAGGTGGCCTGTGCGGCCAGATCAGAGTGAGTGAGGGGGAGCAGGAGGAGCTGGGGGCTGCAGGCAGATGGGGCAGGGCCTTCAGGCCCCAGGGAGCTGTTTGGGTGTTATCCTGAGGGAGACAGGCAGCCGTGGCAGTTTCAAGCCAAGGAGAGGAATGGCCTGATTTCAATTTTGAGATCCCTGTGGGTGAGGCTGGAGGAACGTTTGGGGTGGATCTAGAGACCGGGGGCGGGGGGTGGAGGGGTGAGCTATGCAGGTGTCCCAGCGAGCACGGGGGGGAAGAGGGCTGGACCAAGTCATGCCATGCGTGGACAGATGTCAGATCTACTCTGAAGTTGGCTGGCAAGAGCTGTTGATGATCTAGGCTGGAGACTAGGGATCGAGAGGAGTCCAAATGGATTAGGTTTTGAGCCAGAGCCGGTAGGTGGATGGATGGCGGAGCTGTTTAATGGGCTGGAGAGAAATGGAGCGAGTTGTTCACCACAGGATGGCGCTTGGTGCCTGGTGGGCGCTCAGTATTTGGTGACTAGTAAGAGGCTCTCAGTCCAGGGAAGGTAGGCCTGTGAGTTGCGGAAGTGGCTTAGCGTTGACTTCTGAAGGACCTCAAACTCAGATGTCATTTGGGACAGGAAGGTAACACAGGTGGGTGGGCACCTGAGGCCCAGCTTCAGTTAAAGAAGAAGACACAAAGAAAACTAGAAAATATCTTGAACTGAGATAAAACACAACGCGTGAAATGTGTGGACTGCAGCAGCTGAAGCAGTGCTAGAGAGAAACGGGCTTTGAGTGCGTAGAAGAGAGTGAAAATGGAGAATCCTTGATCTACGGCAGGAGTCTGCAAGTTTTGGTCCGTGGGCCAAATCCAGCCTCCTTTTTGTAAATAAGGTTTTATTGAAACCAAAAGCTGCTTAAAAATTTTTTTAGTTGTTTATTGATTTGAGAAATAGAGACGGGAGAAAGAAAAACAAACCACATCAATTTGTTGTTCCACTTCTTTTATGCATTCATTGGTTGCTTCTTGTATGTGCCCTGACCGGGGATCAAACCCACAACTTTGGGGCCCTAACAAATGAGCTACCCTGCCAGGGCTTTTTTTTTTTTTTAAGTTTAAATTGAATGAAATACATGGTGAGGGTGGGGGTCCAGATTCAGTCCTCAGCCCATCAATCATTTCTCTGATTTAGCTGTTTCCTCTTTCAGGGAATGGGCATGCTCATTGGGCAATGTGGAGTAGTGGTTAGTACACAGGCCACATGATCTTGGGATCATCATTTCTCTTCCTTGTGCCTCAGTCTCTTCATCTGTAAAATGGGGTAATGGTAAGCAGCTGCCTCCTGGCGTTGTATGAAGGATTAAATGAGTTTACCCATGAAAACATCCTGGCACACAATGAGTACTCAGTAGAGCTCTAACTGGTTTGGCTCAGTGGATAGAGCATTGGCCTGCAGACTCAAGGGTCCCAGGTTCGATTCCGGTCAAGGGCATGTACCTTGTTGATCGATGTTTCCCTCTCATCGATGTTTCTGACTCTCTGTCCCTCTCCCTTCCTCTCTGTAAAAAATCAATAAAATATTTATTTTTTAAAAAAATAAGTACTCAGTAGAGCACTCATAGTTATA